TTTGACTCCTCCAAAGGCTTCGACTCCCCCTAAGACTTTGACTCCAACGTACACTCCGCAGCAGAAACAGAATAATCACAAAACCCTTGCTGACTTGGATTATTCTTTAAGTAAAAGTATATGCCCAAATCAACCTGAAGTATTGACCATCTCTTCCGACAAACATGCTATCTCAGCTTGTAAATCCAACAACTTCTCCTATGGTAAGTCCTTACAGATCATAGCAGAATCACAAGACAACACAAATAACTCGCTGGACCCGTTGACTCCTCCTAGAGTCCGACTAACAAAAAAATCGTGTATCGGCAATAGCCGTTATTTGATGGCTAGACTAAGAGAACCGGCTATTTTATCGTCCCTCAAGCTCTTCCTCGCCTATCTTCATGACCAACCATCATCTGTCTGTCATGAGGGCTACACGAACACAAGTGTAAAAGTGTTTCTAGCCTCTGAGGGACTGCCTGTTGATCCTGGAGCTTTACGGACCATTTATTATGATTATCATGATCTATATGGTATTGGCTCAGCTGAAGTGGATAACGATCTCTCTACCTACAGAGCATATATATCCGCGGAACGAAGAATACACCTGCAGAAGCAAAGGGAGTACAATCATCGTTATTTTACTGCCGATTCACATAGGAAAAATTTTTAATTAATACGACGTGTCCTGGGGAACTAGAATCCCCAACTAGTCTTACTGGCTATGCCGACAGTAAATTAAGAATGGTTCTAATTAATATTCGATCAATACGGAATAAGACTGATGAATTGTATTTGTTTTTGGAAGAGTTAGGGTTTCCCCAAATAGTTGCTATTACAGAACACTGGTTACAAGTTGGTGAACCAGTTTTTGTCGAAAAATATACTATCGTCAGCAGATATGATAGAAGTAATACAGACCATGGTGGAACTCTAATTTTATCCTTAGACAAGAACTTTTCTGCTGTATCTAAATACGACTTTCTACAAGCTGAAAATTTCTTCGAATTTTCCATTGTAAACAACAAAAACATTGATTTGTTTATTATTTGTATTTATAGAACACCTAAATCAAATGTCCACCTCTTTCTAGAGAATCTTCTTAATCTACTTGACGCATTGCCTATAAAAAGTAAGAAAATTTTATGCGGCGATTTTAATATTGACTTTGCTAATGTATGTGCTACTCAAAAGTCTTTGATCAATATTTTTGAATCATTCAGTCTCACTATGCACGTAAATTCTCCAACTAGAATCACAGGAACAACATCTACAATTATAGATTACGTAGTCTCTGATTTTAAACCCGTTGATGTAGAGCACCAAGTAATTAGCTCAGGTCTCTCAGACCACGAAGCAGTATTTGCCAAATTTTTGATACCCCGTACAGCTCCAAAAAAGTCCGTCAGCTAGGTAGAATTTTCTCTAAGCATAATTTCAAAAATTTCTATAATTTATGTCTAACTACTGATTGGAATGGTCTTTCTGAAGATATTGACTCTAAATTTTTAGACTTCTTAAATAAAATAATTATGTGTTTCAATACAGCTTTCCCCCTTCGCCCCATTAAAACTAAATGTCATAAATCTTGGACAACTAAAGGAATAAGAACATCATCTAAAAATATGAGGTCACTCATGTATATTAAAAAGTACACAGATAATCCCCTAATATTAAACTATATCAACAACTACAGAACATTGTATCGGAAAATCACCAAATCTGCTAAGAAAAACTATTACAAAAATCGCATCGCAAGAGCTAAAAACTCCTCCAAAGAAACCTGGTCTATAATAAATGACTTAAGGAATAAAACCCGTTCTTCAAACAGTGTAAATCCTAGCCCAGATGAACTAAACAATTATTTCGTAAATGTAAGTAAAAATATCAAATCTAACATAGCTCCGAGTCAGGATGCTCTCTCCTTCCTCCTACCTACTAAAAGGATCACTGAAAGTTTCTTCCTAAGACCAGTAGACAAGCATGAACTAGTGCAAACCATAAACAACATCCAAAATAAATTTTCCTGTGGAATTGATGGCCTGTCCACCAAAATATTTCTAAATATACCGGATGTAGTAATCAACATTTTAACTTCACTGATTAATGAATCCTTTGAAATTGGTCTCTTTCCTAACTGTCTAAAAACAGCTATAATAATCCCACTTCATAAAGGTGGCGACAAAACCAAAACCTGTAACTATAGACCTATCGCGTTATTGCCTACCTTATCGAAGATAGTAGAACGGCTAATGAAAAACCGTCTTTTGCCCTTTCTTTTCAAGCATAACATCCTCACAGCTCATCAGTATGGCTTTCTACCTAAAAAATGCACTAGCGACGCAATGTTTTCCGTTCTTAATGAAATATACACATCACTTAATGATAAACTTTTCACCGCTTCAGTATTTTGTGACTTCGCAAAGGCCTTCGATTGTGTAAATCGTGATATTTTAATTAATAAGTTACAAATTTATGGCATTCGGGGTTCTCCTTTACAATGGTTTAAAACTTACCTAGAAAATAGAAATCAACAGGTGCGGGCGAATGGTGAGGATTCTACAAATCTAGCAATAAGCAGTGGAGTACCTCAAGGATCAGTATTAGGTCCAATTTTGTTTTTATTATTCATCAACGACATCACAGACTTAAGAATAAGTGGTAGAATTACTTTATTTGCTGATGACACCAGTGTAACCTGGAATAATTCTAACATGCAGACATTACAATCTATCATAAGTGAAGATCTAGTGAATATTAAGTCCTGGTCTGATTCAAATGGACTTTGTTTCAACACCAGTAAAACTGTAGCATTGTCTTACAGAGGTACTTTACAACCTATAACTTTAAACAATAATCTGATCCAAACGGTGACTTCAATCAAGTTTTTATTTCTTTATATAGACGATTCTCTAAAATGGTCTGCTCATATAGATACCTTAGCAAAAAAATTATCCTCCGCATGTTTTGCCATTAAATCGGTTTCTAAAGAGCTGACTCCTTCTACTGCATTAATAACCTACTTTTCCTTATTCGAATCTCACCTTCGCTATGGTTTACCTTTCTGGGGTTCTTGTAGCTTATACCTTTTCGAATCTATTTTTAAACTGCAGAAAAGAGCAATCCGCTATGTATTTGGTTTAAGTTGTAGGACACATTGCGAAAATTACTTCAAAAATTTCAAAATTCTAACCCTTCCTGCTCTATTTATTTTCGAATCAGTCTGCTTAGTTCGCAAGCACATTCAAAATTTATCCGAAAGACCGACTCGTAGATATCCTACAAGAAATTTAGAGACTGATGTTTATTTAACAATGCCCACTTCTGACCTATTAAAACATTCCATTACCTACAATGCCAAAAAATTGTATAATAACCTTCCGATGCAATTAAAATCTATAAATACATACGATAAGTTCCGAAGACTGGCTAAAGCTTTTCTTCTAGAAAGACCATATTACACAGTAGCAGAATTTTATAACGTACCTTAGACATTTGAGTTCCACATACAATGGCATTAATTAAATAATTAAATATTAAAGTTTAAATTTAAATTTAAAAATTAAATTAGAATAATTATAATGACGGATATTGCATATCCATTGCATTGTTATTCCTATTTTGTCTGTTTGTTTCTGTTTGTTTTTTCTGCTGTTTAGTTATTTTTATAATATGTTTAGTATTTAAGTTACACGCTTTGTCTATAAAATTTTTCTAAATTTATTTTACGACAATAAAGCATATCTCTCTCTCTACCCTGAAGAATAACTTTAAAAATCGTTTTAAGGATTTCAACGAAATGGCTTTAGTAGCGCAGTTTGTTGTTTCACCCTTTATGGAAATTGATATTCAACAGTTTGCAATTTGTGTTATGCAGAATTTTGGCGAAGACATCGCTGCAACAGAAATGAAAGTAATTGAGTTTCAAAATGATTTAGCCTTAAAATCGTTAGTCTCAAGTACCAAATGTATCTGGCCTATTGTAAGTAAAGACAAATATTCAGTTCTATGCCGTGTTGCCTTGAAAGTGAAAGCATTATTCAGTTCAACCTATTTGTGTGAATCTCCTTTTTCCAATATGAAGTTTATTAAGAACAAATATCGCAACCGACTTACAGATGACCATTGGGATAATTGTATTCGAATGGCTGTATCAAATTATACTGCAAACATTAAAAAAATTATCGATGAGTCTGAGTGTCAGCCTTCTCATTGAACGTGCTTTTTTATTTTTCAATGTTTATGTTCATGATAGTGCGTTCCTTTTTTGTCGTTATTATTAACTATTTTTAAATCTTACGTGACATGCCGTTGTGGCTGGATAAAAGTTTGTGTTTATTTTTCAAACACCTTCGTTTGGTAGGTAGGAATGTAGCTATGAACAAGTACGTACTAGTAATATTAGTTATTTTGTTATTAGTTTATTATTAGTACCTATGTATTATATATTACCAGTTAAATAGTAAAATAAATACATATAATGATAAATTAACTGTGGATTATTTCATTTACGTTGCGTTACGTGGCTTCCGTGTGGGTAGCTCGCTGTTTATTCCAAAATTAACAAAGTAGCTCAACACATTGCATATATAATTTTTTACTTACCACAATTTATTTGTTTACTACATTTTTATACTTAATTTTATATATTTGGAACCTTCAGTTCAAATTGTCATTTAAGAATTTATTTTATATCTTAAGAACCTTCAGTTCAAATTAATTTGTATACATTAGGAACCTTCAGTTCAAACTAACGTTATGTATGAGGAACCTTCAGTTCAAGTGTAAGTATTTGTTCTGCCAGAACCCTTTTGTAGTATTTAGGCTCCACCCTTAAGTTATAATTTTTATACCTACTAAATTACCGTTGCCCTGCAGATCTTTTAGTTTGTAATGTAAATTTTCCTTTTAACACCAAAAAATAGATCCTTAATATTTAAAAAGCTTTATTTTTTACAGTTCTGTACATATTTACAGTAATAAAAATATAAAAAATTTAAACTAACAAATAATTTAAGTGCTACCTCAGATATTTGAGAAATATCAATAAAGTAATAAATATCACAGACGCGGTATTCGTATATGTTCCGTTACTAAGAGCGCTGGCATGACAATTCATATCTTCAGGTCTCAAATTGACTATCGGGATTTCGAAGCCGCTCCTGTAATCTATACAAGTCGCTTCTTTGTTCGCGTCGTTCATCCCGATCGCAACTTCCACAGGTGAATTGTGCGATTGTAAACTTTCTCTTGTCCATCGTTTTAACCAGTGGCTAAGCCATAAGAGATGACAATCGCATCGAAAAGGATTGTGCGCTAAAAACAGACCACCTGAAAAAAGTAAAAATAGTTTTTTTTATATACTGGATTCAATGGCTGTGTTTACCGTCTTATAACGTGTTTTAAAACTAATATAATCATGTTTCGTAATCGGTTGAGCTGACGCTGAAAGATTGTTTTGTTTTCTTAACCTCAAATTTCAATCTTGATTCGATATCCTCTAATTATAGGCAAATACGGTTGTAAACAGCTGTAAACTAATCCCTTAGGTAGTGAAAGCGCACTCTATACTCAAACAAATAATGATTGAGAGTGAAAGCAGGTAGAAATACGACCAAATCGGAGGCGTGCTTATTATTTTTGAGAGGGTACAATTATTTAAAATATTCATACAATTTCTTTTATTTATTTCATGAAAACTTTGCAATATCGTAATTTACCTAATCGTTGTAGTCATTAGTGGGGCTTTATGAAAACGGAGTAATTGTGGTAATTATAGTAGGAACCAAATAAATTAAGAATATTAATAAAAATCACAATATATATTTCAAATTAAAAATAAGAAAGATACCTAATCAGGGGTTGGTTTGGTGACAGAAACAATATTATCAATTTTACTATTTTAATAATGAATTTAACTTTATTTCACAAATTAACGTATATTTATATATTATATCGCGGCCGAAGTCAGTAAGGAACTGTCTCTTAAGTTTCTTCTTGGGTTACACATACAGAAGTATTACTTAAATTTTAAATTAAAATCATAATGACGGATATTGCATATTCAATGCAATTGATATTTTTGTTTTGTTTTGTTTAGTTATTTTTAAATTTTTATATTTTTTAATCTTTTTATATTATATTTAGTTTTTAATTTACTTCGCTTTGTCTATAAAATTTTTGTAATTTTTCAATGACAATAAAGCATACCTCTATAAATGACAACAATATCCTAATAGACTGGTACAGAAAACCTTGTCAGTCAGGACGTTACCTACATTTCAATTCATATCACAAATACCATATGAAAGTCAACTTGATAAAACAAATGAAAAACAGAGTAATCAAAATTTCTGACAAGAGCTTTCACAATAAAAACCTCAACATCCTTAAAAACCTCTTCTTAGATAATGCCTATCCACTACGTTTAATAAATAATACACTTTTCAATCTATCGTCTACCCTGACACATGATGCTCAATTAAGTGATCAACTGAATATTATTAATAATAATAATAATAATAATAATAATAATAATAATAATAATAATAATAATAATAATAATAATAATAATAATAATAATAATAATAATAATAATAATAATAATAATAATAATAATAATTAATAATAATAATAATAATAATAATAATAATAATAATAATAATAATAATAATAATAATAATAATAATAATAATAATAATAATAATAATAATAATAATAATAATAATAATAATAATAATAATAATAATAATAATAATATTTCTAACAATTTCAACAACATTAATAATAATGAAATCACTACTATAGCAAAACACATAAGTTTACCTTAAATAAGAGATATTACACCAAAAATAACTAGAATATTAAAATCACTGTTAAATGTAAAAATAGCTAATAAAACAGTACTAACTATAAACTCTATTTACACCAAAGTAAAGGACAAAACACCATTAAAAAGCTTATGTAATGTTGTTTATCAGATTCCTTGCAAAGATTGTGATAAAGTATACATTGGTGAAACATCTAGATCACTAGGTAACAGAATAATCTCTTACAGAAGTGACGCACGGTTACACCCTGAAAGGTGCTCTTTAGCTGAACATGTTAACAGTTTAGACCACAGAATGGACTATGATGCATCTAAGATTCTTGACACAGAATCCAATTACACCAAAAGACTCTTCTTAGAAATGGCTTGGATATACCAAAATCAAAATTGTATTAATAAAAGGACGGACATAAAACATCTAAGTGCTATTTACTCATACTTACTCAACACCAATACAACCCTTCATCACAATAATAGTGACAGTATTATTGCAGATGAAATCTAATTTTTTAAATGTCCACCTTTTATGATATAAGTCTGATTAAATAACTTTTAATATTCAACCTTTCATCATAACAATGGTGACAGTATTGTTTTTGATGAAATAATTTACAACATCCTTTCATTCATCACAACAATTAGTGACAGTTTTGTTGATGATGAAATATTTAATCAAACTGCATTCTCAGATAAAACATTATTAAATAATAATTTAGGTATAAAGTAATCTTCCTAACTAGGTTCCTTATTAGTAATTTCTATATTTAATCTAACACACTTGTATACATAAACAACTAATGACACAAAATTTGACATAACAGTTAAATTTCAAACTGAATTTTAACCACAATAATTTTAAGTTATATTGTAAAACTATGTAATTATAATTCTATATGTGCATCAAAATCATAAAATTTAACATATTTAACATCATTAATAATTCATCCTCACAAAGATGTAAGTAACTCACTCTCTTAATAATATTATGTTCCTATGAAGACACACCACACCTTTTGTAGATTCCCTGAAGATGGAAATAAGTTATTAAATTTCCGAAAGCTTGGATCATCTTTAAAGAGTTTTCTTTATTACATATTGCTGCTGCCCCCAATAAATTAGTTTGAATTTTACATTACTATTCAGCAAAGACTACCCTTCCACTATATATATATTATTATGTTATGAAAACACCCTATATAATAAAAATAATAATAAAACTAATAATAATAATAATAATAATAATAATATTAATAGTAAAAAATAAAGTAGGAAAATTATTATAACCCTGTATACTAAAATTATATAAAAAAGTCTTAAGGGAAGCAGACTATGAGAAGTGGATACAAAAGATTGGTTTCTAGATATGAAAAGGGGATTGTAAAAAGTCACTTTTGAAAGTAATTGGAAAAAAGGTTGTCAATTTGGAAAAATTAAAAAAAAAATGTCAGAAGTTTGAAGTTAAATTGTAATTGAAATGTATGTTAAATTTAAATAAGCAAACTATAAAGATACGGTGTAAAGGTTGACAAAGATCATAAGATTAAGGAGAGGAGGAAGAAGACGAAAGACGAGATTGACCAGAGAGTGACCTGGACAGAGGTGAAAACGAAAACCCTAAAACTGTGAGAACGGTATTTATAAAACTTTTAATAGTGTCGTACAATAATTTCGACTATTTATGAATAGAGATTCATAACCAATTTATATTGAAATAATAGTTGTTATTTTTTTTGTGATTTATTTTTGAGAAGAATTGTATTTTTTTTATTAAGTTAAGTTTAGTAGGGACAGTAGGGTAGTTATTAATAATTTTTCATTTAGTACAGGTAATTAAATACCTGACATATTTGTTTCAATTTGCCCATAGTGGTTTTGTTAGAATTAAACAATTCAATTTTGGAAAAGTTTGTTTATTTAAATTTTTATTTTTTCAGTATACAGGTATCAAGTTTATTTAGGATCATCTTGCATAATTCTAAATAAACTAAATAAACTAACTAATTAAACTAAATTTAATTGAATAAATAAAAAAAATTAGTAATAATTAAAAATAAAATAAAGTTTATAAAAATAAAATAATTCTTGAACCGACACCACTTAGAGAAAGAGAATCTGCTCTAAGTAAAATAAAAAAAAAAAAAAGTAAAATAAAATATTAAAGGTTAGCCGAGGTAAGTTAAGTTTAGTGTGTATTATAAAATTGTGAGGTTAGTAGAGAACATAACAATATATATATATATATATATATATATATATATATATCTCCCGGTTTACCTGCAGTTCCTCGAAACTAGCCAGCCTTACCCAAGAAACCCTAATTGGGTTCGGCCAACATTAAAAGACATTATAAAGCTTAAATTACTATTTGATTGGTACTTAAATCATAAAAGTTTACACGCACCTATCATTTCGGAAATCCCTAAGTAAGATAATTAGTTTGGATATAACCTACAGGATTATGTTTTCTTGACCGCCAAACATAATAATAATAATGTTTATTTCAAATTTATGTAACAATGTACAAATTGATACAATAATAATAATTAAATAAATAAACATTTGTATCCTGCTGAGACATTGTTCATATCTGTGTACAGGAATTAAAAATACAAATTTATATAATAATTTCTAAATGGTAATAGTGAATGGTAAAAATAAAAATTATACCTAAATATATATGGTGAGTTCGGTCTACGCACTCTTTTCACTATATTCACTCCTAAAGTACCTAAGGCGTTCGGATATGGAAGGAGTTAAAATAAAAGTTCCTCTTTGACCGTTCGGAGATGGTGGAGTGGAGTGTGGATCGGGCATGCGCATAAGGTGATTTAAATTGATAATAAGTTAATTGTGAGTGATTCTTTAGTAAATAAATTTTTTTTTGGTTCCCGTGAATATCATTAATATGGAAGAAACTTATACGGTCGTTACTGACAAGTACGATTAAATTTTAAGTACTGGTATGTCACATTGACAATTGACATTGCACTCCGAGAGTTAAAGGAGTAAAATCATATTCGCACTCCGTTTACGCCTAATTACTACACTCCACTCTAGAGTTCGCAGCCCGAACTCACCTATAGACTTCTTTTTGTGTACAAATTTTCTTCTAATCTTCAACCTCAGATTCGTCACTGCTGCTACCGCTATCATCAAAGTTAATTATGATTGGTTCAATATTGTGTTCAATACGGTTGTCTACGTCCCACATTTTTTGCTCTTCTTTTTTGGCTTCTTCATCAACTGTGATTTTTTTTCTTCCGCTACTAGTTTTTGGCGTTTGTACTTCCCCATGAATTTTGTTTTCTCTTAGTATTTTGTAAACTGATGATTTTGGTACACCCGTATAATCAGAGCACATATCAACTAATTTATCTTTTGTAATTGTGGAAGTTAATGATGTTGGAACGCCCGGTTGGTTATTCGGAGGTACATCCGTAGAATTACAGCACATATGCACTAAGTTATCTTTTGGTCGCTGATGATCTCTTTCAAGACAGTG